TTTATGTCTAATTATAAAAGTAACTAAAATGTAAAAATAGGGATCCTTTTAGGTTTATTAAGATTATATTAGGTAAAATAAATAATTATAATAAAAATGTTTCATGAGGCATGCATGTGAGCAGCTTGTGGGTAATGAAATTTGTTAGCGTAACATGAGCTGCACGTTCCCCGAGTGATTTACAATTTATAATGGTGCAGATGGTAGTTGTACATGGTTCAAAGGGTAATAAAACAATAAAATTTAATTATAAATAGATGTATACTGTTACGAACTTAGAGCTACTTAAGATAAACAAATGTAGTTTCATGTTACAATATGAAGTTATTTTAGAAAAAAAAAGGGTAATTTAGGTTTATTTAGATTTTTTTTTTGGTGGGTACGAGGTCTGTTGATTTGACCGATCCCATTTTGAGATAGGGTAGAGAAAATAACAGATAAACTATAAAGTTTTACTGAGAAAAAACGTTTGAAATGCATTTAGGAGGTTTTATGGATTATACAATGGAAATTTGAGATTTTTGAGATGAGGAAAAGTATTTTTAATTTTAACATGAAAATTACTTTGCACATGGACTATTCAAAACAAATACTCAATATATTCATGGATAAATCTTTATTTTATTTTATTGAAAATACTTCACTAAAAAATATGATTTTTTGTATGTGAAAGATTTATAATATTAACTAAAAGACTGTCAAATTTTGTGAAGATATACACACTATATTGAAAGTTAGAAGTATTAAATCTATAAAAACTTTAAATGAGTACAAAGAGGTCACGTGGTCAGTCAAATTGACTGAGCCTGTGTTGAGCGAGTTAATTTCAGTAAGTAAGTGCCTTTAATTGGCAATCATAACTTAACATCTGACACTCTCTCTTGCTCCAACCTTACACATCTTTTTTTCATCCAGATGTGACATTCCTTCATTTTCACATGTGAGATTTATCTGGCCTATTGCCTGCAGGGTCTGTCTTCTCCAATTGTGTATCGTTTGTCTTACCTCATTCATGTCATTTTTCAACTTTGCTTATCAGTGGAAATGGCAAATATTCTGACATTGGTCTATCTGCCACTCCCTTTTTCTGGATCATGTTACTGTGGTCCACCTTTCAGCCTTTTCACATAGTTGCTCAACTATAAATTGTTGATCTCCACCTTAGCTGTTTATTGAGTGGCGTTATCAGATAGTGTTATTGTCTGGTGTTTATTCTCCTGTCCTTTCCACTTTGTTCAAGTCCTTCCTTCTTCACTGACCCACTTGCCTGACTGGAACGTTAATGTGGTCTTAACACACACACGCCTTGTTCAAGCCATTAGCTTCTTGTTCTTTACACCATCTTTCTCTGGAGACATACTTCCTAATTCTTCTCAGCTGTAGTTTCCATTGTTCAGATGTATGTGCCATCAATGCTTCCCACACTATCTTTCATCATTCTTATTTACTCCTCTACCCAGACTGGACTTTTCTTCCCAAGACTTTGGCTGCTTGGGAAAGGGATAATGTTTTCTTTCCTATCTCCCTCCTTTCTAGCTTTCACCTCTGTGCTTGACAGTGGATCATCTCCTGTATCAAGTTCAGGCTGTGAGATGTTATTTGGCATGAATGTCTCCTTTTCGGAATTCCCTTTATCCTTTTGTTTCTGTCTTTGGGACCTTTCTCCTCCCAGGGTCCTATTGCTTTCTATCTTTACTAGATGAGTTTGCCAGCCTCTTCAGTTGGTGTATTCTTCCATGGGTACTGATTTTTTCAGACTTTTTCACATTTTGTTGCATCTGATTCATCGCCCATCTCACTCTCTTGCATTTCATTTTTGCCAATCCTTGGACAAGATCCTTTAGACTGGCATGTGGATGAATCTTCATGTTTGTCTCCCATTATCTTCAACATCTGGCTGTTTCATCTCCTGTGAAATTTTGACTCCATCTGGTCACTATTCTTCAATCTACATACATTATTTGAGAGTAGTAAGTAAATTTCATTTTACACCACCCTCCTCCTTCCTTTCTTCTTATAGGATCCTACTATGTAAATGATGTTGCCTCCCGGGGTATGCTTATTTCTAAAAATCTGCACTGGGCCAGGGATATTGGAAAGTGCTCAACCCATCCACCCTGGCTCTACCACTGCCCATTGTTGATATGGGGTGTTCCACAAGACCATTAGAGGTTCTTTGTGGCCTGATCCAAACCGTACAACGGGTTTTCATGGAAAAAGCTGTCACCAAACAAGTGACTGCCTGCTTTTTTGGATCTTGTTTGCCAGCTTTTAAATATAAGGTTTTGGAGTCATCTGTTGTACTGTGTCCAATAGGGATCCATGCACTTTTTCACATCTCCCACTGCAAATTTTCCTCCTCCTTTTTCAAGTGGTGCACAGAAAACCCGTGGAATGGTAGACTTTGGACAGTTCCTCACTGATTTTGTACAGCACAATACAGTGGGAAATAGGGCAGGGGTGACACTGTTTGCACAGTGCAGGTCACCCCTCAAATAGGTCCTCCTGCAGGGTGATTTGTTCATCACTCCTGTCTTAGTCTGTCCAGTTGAGGTGAGACACACACACACACAGTAAGATCTGATTGTGCCCAAACTACACTACTCTTCTTGGCTTGCTGACCATTTGTGTGCATATGCTCGGGTGGTTATGCAAAATTTCACTTGGGGCTCTTTTGCCTTTCTTCTTTTTCCTTCTGGGCAAAAAGTATACTTTGGTTAAGGTTAGATGCAGTCTCCCGTAGGTGTACTTTTATGGAACCCCTGCCATCTGGTATTGCCCTCCATGGACTTTTCCTTTGGTGCTTTCTGAAGGAAACTCATCTAGGTGTAATGTTTGCATTGACTCCTCCACTATATCACTGTGAAATTCTGGCTATTCTGTGTGAAAAGATGAGGTGTCTTCTTGGAAGTGAACATTTTCCTTACCTGAAAATGTATTTCTGATAGATAACTCCCTACACAACTTCCCTTTCCCACCCTTCAGTTGCTCTTTTTTTCCTGCCTTGTCTGGGAATGAAGTTAATTCAATTGCAATTGCTTAGAGGAGTTACCATGCAAGGATCTTGTGTTGCCCTCCTACTGGTGGAAGGCTATCGTCACATGATGATGTCATCATAAACTAGTGCAGTTGATGTCAAATGCATGATTTTTTAGGTGGAAGTTAATTCAAGGCTAGTGAGATTCATATCTCATAGGTGAATGCATGAAGGATCAAGCTGTTCTGTGTGAAGTGGTGAGTATTTATTGGAAATACATTTTCAGATAAGGAAAATGGCAACTCCAAGATCTTAAACAAAACTTTTTAGTTCGATGCTTTTATTAGTAGTTGTAACCATGGAATCTTAAACAAACAAAACATTCTCTCTTGGTGCTGTGGTCAGCAGTAGCAACTCCAAGAACTTAATTGAAAAATCTTAGCTTAGTGCTTGGGGCAACAGTATCAACTGTTAAGCATAACCATGAAGGCTAAATTACTTGTAAGATATTTTAATATGAATTGGACCTTTATTGTTTACACAGTTTCTTAGCTCATAAAACAAAGTACTTATTTCAATATCTTTGATATGAAACAACAGGTTGCTTTTATCATTCCTTTAAATCCTTCACAACTGCCATTAGATTGAGAATAAAACCATTGTTTTTTTTTTCATGATTTAAAATAGCTGTCATGCACAAGTGAATAATTCAGACTCAAAAATTTTGTCATTAATAACTGAATAGGATGTACACAATTTACAAACTAGGTAACAAAAGACTGTACTATTATATTATTGAAACTTCCAGTTTTCTATACAACTGCAACTTGAACCAAATTAATGAAAAAAACATTATAAGCTTTATAACCTTATCTTTCAGGTACTGGACACAAGAGTTTAGTTGCATTGTTTCAAGAGATCTCCAACAAGAAATAAGTGCATGGGTGCATGAGCACAGTAAGTTGTATTTTCACATGCTCTGTTTTACATATTCCCATTCCTACTCAGTATTTTGTTATACTAAGAGTTTTTTTTTCTAACCTCTAATTTCATAATCTATTGGAGAGCTTTAATATACGTCTCTCAGGCATAATTATAAAGTACAACTCTTTTTTCCTTTTTTTTTCTCTCCATTTACATGTGAAATATAGTTGCAAGTAATAATGAAAAAAGTTTGCAATACATAAGGATGATGCCAAAAAGTACAGAAACAAGGTAGGGATGAATACATAAAACTATAAAAATCCATACATAAGTAGCCAATACTTCCAAGAAAAACTTTTATCTACAACTAGTTATTGAATTCCTGTGATTTTCATGAATTCAGATTTGAATAAAAGCACTTAAACTGAATAATGCTATAAAGTCTTACAAAAGCTAATTCCTATAAGCTCCTAACATTGACTCTGTTCTTATTGAATTATGTTATGTAATCCACATAAACATCTGGCCTGTGTCATACATGTATACTGTAAATGTGCCATGAAGTAATATTATTTAGTATTGTTAGTTCATTTATGTATTCAGAATTCTGTACTTATTGAATTATTATAATGCCGATTTAGCAGTTAACAGTAGCTTTATTTTATATACACTTACTATATTTAAAAAAAAACAATCAAATGATAGGTTAATATTCTGTTAATGGGAAGATACTTAACAGAGTTGTTTGAAAAATTATCAGTGATTGTGTGTGTGTGTGTGTAGTATTTTTAGATCAAACTGATTTTTGGAAAGAGTGTTAGGTAGGTCCATTTTGTAACAAGAGGATTGACAGAATAAGTCGCGAAGTAATATTGAATTTAACTAAACAGACTGAGTTGAAGCTAAGGAATATATTGACTAGACACAATGTGTAATACAAAAAAAATATTTTTTAATGAACACAAAATTACAGTATATATATGTACTGGCATTGGACACTGTATGGTTGTCTTTTACTGGACTCATGAATTGGTCAACTGGCTTTCTTCACTCAAGATATCTTCTTGTTAAGTAACTCACTTGAGATCCCATGTATTATTGCTTAATGAGAGACATCAGATTTACTCATAGCAAGTAGTGCTACACATGACTGGTCATTCTTATTTAATATAGAGGAGATCTTATCCTCCAAATACCACCTGGCCTACCATCAAAGAATATTACATTCAACATTCCTACACAACATGCAGCACTACAGCAGTGATTCCCATGTTTTGAACAAGTGCATGATATTCCTGTGTATCATGTGTATATTATGCTTTGCATGTTCAAAAGTTACTAAATAGTATAGCATCAACAGGAAGGACTGTATAAACAATATATTCATAATGGAAAAAGCAGCAAACTGTTGTTTCCTAGAATTGACTAAATTCTCTCTATTTGTAAAAATCAATAATGAAACTAAAACAAGTTTATGTACAGCACTGATTGTTCTACATTGCACTAATGACATGATTTCAACTAGACTGAGATGGTTAGAAACAATATTTCAGAACTGATATGGATTACTTTTCCTGAAAATTGAGAATATAAGCTGTATATTATATTTTACAAAATCTGTATTAGCTGGCCAGAAACAGTATTACTGAACTGATATTTATTATTGTTCCTGAAAATTGAGAGTGTAAGCTTGGTATCAAATGCTAAACATGTTCACTAATCTTCTTGTGATCAGTAACATTGTTACATAACTGGTAGATATTTGTATGTGCCAGAAAAATCCATAGAAAGTAACTTCTGAGAAAATCATCCATTTTCTATAATTTATTTTAATTAAATTTTTATAATTTTATGCAAGAGTACAATATTAACTTCTAGTTCAAATAGATGAAGTTGTTAACCTACCAACTATAGAAAATAAGACTTATCAGCTAACAATAACTAATTTTGGTAAGTTACATGAAAAAACTATTTCATATGATTGTATATTCATTTTTTGTTGTTGTTGCTCTTTTATTACTAATATTAGCTAACAGTATTCCAAATTTTAAAACATACTTACCTCCGCTTACACTATAGTTATTATTTGACTGCTAGGGATTCCTTCTTTTGCCCATCTAAACATTGATCTGATTTTGTCTCGTTTGCTCCAGTCTTTTACACCTCACTTAATTGCCCTTGCTGATATCTGTCTCGTGATACTCTCCACCTACGTCAATGCACCCTCTATCCTGGTACTGTTTATATGCACTACATTTGGTTCAGTGGTGTTTCTCCGGGGGCTCTGAGAGCTGCATTTGTGGACGATCCTGGACGTTCTGGAGAGAATTTAGATTCTCTTTTCCTGGCACTCTCCTTTACTAGGTAAGGTTCTCATGACGTAAATTTGGACCAGACACCTCTGGTGCTCATTCTTCAGTTGGTCGATCAGGTGTGTGATGTTTTTGGTTTTTCCCCAGTTGCATTTTGAGTCTGCACCTTCTTTGTTGGCAGAAAGGTCTGAGGGCGAATTCTTAGTTGTTCTCCATGCTCTGACATTGCAGTTCATGCAAGGAGGTTTACTGTTCAGTTACATGAAGGGATAGCCATGCCTTGTCTGCCACATTTGTCAGAACAACATGCTTTAGCTTATCATTCCCACATAGATGCATATTTATACTCTCAAAGAATAGACCCACTTCTGAAAATGTGGGGTTCCAGAACAGTCTATAGTTAATCTGAATAGATCACAGCTTTCTATGATATTTATCATCCCTCCAAATTTTATTGGAAGCTCTAAGTGATCTCCACATCAATCGACTAGTTGAGACCATTGTTGGCATCTACCTTGGTACAGTTGTCAGCTTCTGCACTTTCTCTAGTCTCTTGGCTGGTATGTTGTTGGGTAGAGATGCATTGTTGTAGGACATTCTTCTACCTGCTGCCGCCATCCATGAATTATGTGTGGCCACTTTTCTTTGATCCTTGATTATTGTGGGTATTCCAGAGTCTTTGGAATCATGGATTGAGGTCATGGATCCATGGGTGCTATAAGTTCTTGCATCAGGATAGGTCATTCAGGTCACATTTATACCACCATTATCCCCCCAAACCTATAGTATTTCCACCTCCCACAGATCCTCAGATTTCAGAATTTCATTACAGGGCTATTAGAGATTTGTTGGTCAAGGGGGCAGAGTCAACCCAGTTCTTCCAGGGTTTTATTCTCATCTGTTTGTTGTGCGCAAGAAGACATGAGATTGGTGTCCAGTCATTGATCTTTCTCGTCTATACCAATTCTTGGATCCTCCAGGATTCACGATGGAGTCATTTCTCTCTCTATGTTGGCATTTTTTGCCAGGACTGTAGATGACCAAGTCTGATGTTGCCGATGCCTATCTACACATTCCCATAGCAGAGTTGTCCCACCACTATCTGCATTTTGTGCACAAGGATTAGCTGCTGCTGTTCCAGGCTCTGCTTTTTGTATAAGCATCAGCTATATGGACAACTGGTTTCAGCTAGCACCATCTCTTCAGTTGGTGGAACATCACACCCAGATTCTCCTTTCAGAAGTCACCAAGGTAGGTTTTATTATTAGAGCTGAGAAATCTATTCTCACTCCAACACAATATATTTTCCATCTGGGTGTCTTTTTCAACACTTACCTCAGTTGGGCTCAGCCACCTCCCATCTGGCTCCATGCTATGGAACAGGCAGTCAAACTCTTACTCACAGCTCCTTCTTCCACTGGATGGATAGTTATTTCTCTTTTGGGGATGTGGCCATCACTTGAATCCCTCATTCCTTTGGGATGAGCACACATGAGATCTCTTCATTGGATCTCCTTTATTAGGCTCACTCCCATCATATAAGCAAACTAGCGTGCCATGTTCCGGGAGTGATGAATTTGATAGCAGATCATTTGTATTTTGCCCAACCGAATGGGTGCTACATCACAAGGTTTTGCTCTCAGTTTGGGACACCGATGATCTCTGCGTTTGCCACTCATTGGAACACTCTACTACCAGCATTTTGGTCTCTACTACCTCACCCTTGGGCATTAGCGATAGATGCATTCAGTCAGGACAAGACAGGATTGCACCTCTATGTCTTCCCACCGATTCTTCTGTTACCGAGAGTTCTAGCTATGGTTCATTCAACCCCTTGTTGTGTTCTGTTAGTAGCATTTGATTGTCCAGCTCAATCCTGGTTTCCACTTCTTTGATACCTTCAAGAGTGCCTACCTCTTTCACTACTTCTTTAGCCATCTCTGTTGAGGCACCTATGATCTGACATTGTACACCCAGCTATCCTGAAGCTCAAGCTTTGTGCATGGAGGTTATGTGGTTTTTCACATGGGTTTAACTTCTAAGATTGCCATGTATCTGTCTCAGTCTCTGCATAGTCCAACAACGGAAGTAGCACACATATCAACAATGGTGTCTCACGAGGAGGTTGAACCCAGATGTGCCAACCACAGCTCATTTTTTGACTGTCTCTTTGACAAGGGTTTAGCATCTTCTACAATCCCTTATATAAGACAGTTCATTACATTGTTCATGGAAGAGGATCCATTGTCTCCTCATAATTCTGAATGCAGAGTGGTCCCATTTTGGATCCTTGGATGAGCATAGTTTGTTCCACATCCTCCTCAATAATTCCAAAGACAAGTGGAATTTACCTTATGTACACAGTTGGAGAGTAATGATGTGTGTTCCTAATTCTAGACTGGAAGAGTTCTATTTTCTCAGGTTGAGTATGGCATACAGGATCCCGTCATCCCGAGTTTGGGGTGTTGCCTTCTGGACCTCTTCAGGTTGAGGAGAAGGTTTGTATACTTTGGTGTTGTTTACCTTCTTGTCATGATTCCGGTGGCTTGGAATGCATACTCTATGACTACAGGTTGAAATCCACTCACTAGTGTGTGTGTATATATATATATATATATATATGTGTGTGTGTGTGTAAATATATATGTATTGTGTTTGTGGTCAAAATGTTTTAGCCACCAATGTTGGATATAGGGACCATGGCCCTATAATTCCAACCCAGAGTAGTGGAACCTCAGTTGTATTGTTGGTGCATGGCCTATAGTGATGATAACTCATGCAAAATTCCACCCACATTACAGGAATTATATTCCAGGTGAAGAGCATACCTGTTCTGGATGTAGTGCGGTTACACCACTGTATGTATAATGCCCTCACTGGCCCCTCCATGTTATGAATGTAGGATTCTAGATGTAGTTTGAGGGGAGGTATGTATGTTTTAGAAGTTAAAATTTTCTTAAATCGAAAATATATTTCCAATAATACTTGCCTATTCTTACACTTTCTTGCCCTTCTTCCCCGTTAAGAGCCAGTGTTAGAGACTCCAGATTGAGTCAGTCTTGAGAAAGTGATAATATTATCTGAATGAGATGCACTGACATAGGTGTCACGAGACAGATATTGCTAAGGGCAGTTATATGGAGTATAAAAGACTGGACTAAGTGAGAAAAAAAAGACCAATGATGCTTAGTTGGGCAAAGTAATAGCTGTAATGTGAAAGGAGGTAAGTATTATTGGAAATACATTTTTGTGATAAATTGTGTAGGTTAATTGTCAATTATTTTTTAGCAGATGCCCAGCTATAGAGAAATTGAATATGGTTTTGTTTTTAGTTTGTTCACATACATTGTAAGCCTAATCCTTTTTTTTTTTAATTGGAGTGTTTAGAATTTGCAATTGACCTAAAATCATATTAAAGTTGTAACAATTTGTAACTGTGTTTTATTTCCTAGAAATTCTATATCATTCCTTGTGTGTCTCACTTGAAAGCTTCAACTACAAGTAAGGGAGGTGTTAACTATAATTTGTTATACAGAAATTATAGCATACTGATTCCCAATAGTTATGTCTATCAGTTAAAAACAAAGAGATTGCAGTTTTTGGAATTGTTTGTTTTATCATATTTTTCTTAAAATGTATGTGCCCCTTAGATAATATGAATTGATCTACCATATTGGCCTAATTATAAGGCGATATTTTTTTATTAATAATTACGCTGTAAAATTCATAGCTGCCTTATAATTGCAGTTGACCACAGGCCCCTTCCCCCTATTCTAGCCTGTTCCATTTCTGAATGTCCAGATAGTATCCATATATGCGTGAATGCCAGATGTTCGCTCAAGGTCATCATTAATTTTTGCAGCTAATCTACCTGCAGGCTGTTCATTTATAGTATTGATTTTGCTGGTACATTATTGTTTTGACTGTGTTCATTTTAAATTTTATATTAATTTTTGTCTGTGAGTTTCGTTTTATTGATCGACTCTTTGCAAGAATGAGTGACCACATTAAAGGACAGTGAACAAGAAAGTGTCAAATTAACGAAGTATTTCGACAGAGTTATAATGCAAGTCTTAAAATTATGGTAGTGTGTGAGGCAGAAAAAATTAACAATTGTACCACTGCTAGAAAATTAGGTGTTACTGAAAATAATGGGAGGCATTGGCAGAAACAAAAGACTGAACTCCTTACTGCACATTCTACAAGAAAGACATTTCACGGACCTAAGAAAAGGACATTATGAAGAACTTGACAAATGTGTTGTTCAGCATATTAATAGGATGCAAGACAAAGGATTTCCAATAACAAGAGAAGTTATCCAGTTTAAAGGCAAAGAAATTGCAAAACATTTAAACATATCAGAAACAGAATTGGTGTAAGAAGATGATGAAACGAAATGGGCTAGCTCTGAGGTGATGTACAAGTTTTGCACAAAAGCTACCTCAAGACTACAATGAAAAACTTATTTCTTTTCAGCTCCATGTTATAGGCTTAAGGAAAAAGCGCTGGTATCCACTTAGTTGCATGGGTAATGCAGATCAAACACCTGTGTTCTTTGACATACCTGCAAATGTTACAGTTCACAATAAGGGAGAAAAACAATATCAGTAAAAACAACCAGAAATGAGAAATCTTGGGTGACCGTTTTGGCAGATGGCATAAAACCTTCCCCATGTGTTATTTTGAAGAGAAAAACAATGCCTAAAGAAAACTTACCTTCAGGAGTAAGAGTATGAGTACAAGAAAAAGGTTAGATTGAGGAAAGACTTGTTTTGCATTGGCTTAAAGTTATTTGGGGAAGAAACCCAGGAATGCCATCAAAAGAGAGATTGATGCTTGTGCTTGATGCATTTAGGGAACACCTAACTGAAAATGTCAAAAAAGAATTCCACAAATTAAACATAGATTTGGTTGTCATCCCTGTAGGTGTGACCTCCCAGTTGCAAGTTTTAGTTGTTGTGGTCAATAAGCCTTTTAAAGACAGTTTAAGAAAGAAATACTCAGATTGGCTTCTAAATAGTGACCTCATTCTTACTCCCACAGGTAAGATAAGAAAACCATCAGTCAGCATCTTGAGTAGTTGGGTGCTTTATGCTTGGGAGTTTATCCACAGAGAATATTGTTCATGGATTCAAGAAATGCTGCATTTCAAAAAAAAAAACACAGGAAGTAGCTCAAGTGAAGAAGAAAGTGAAGATGATGCTAGCACTGACATTGAATGGACATTAAAATTCTATTTACCTTAAATATCTTCTAAAATACTTCTAATATTTTGATATTTGTTTGAATTTACTGTGGAATAAATCAATTGCATATTTTTTATTAAAATGTTATGACACTCAATTTTTTTTCTTTCCTATGGTTTATGAAAATATGGCTGCCTTGTATTTGAAATAACCTTATAATTGGGCCAATACAGTATTTTACTTTTCTGAAAATAAAAAAAAAGGAAAATGATTCTTTAGAAATGTAAAATTTCTCTTTAGTTCTAGCCAGTCATTTTTGAACTTGTAATTTGTTGACCTGTTACAATTAAGTATATTTTTCTAAAGGCTATGGTTACCAGATTTCTTTCTAAAGTTTGGGAATGCCCATATATTGGAAGAACACCTAACAATTCCATTCTGAGGCCATATTCTCATACGCGTGTACTCTCAAGAACATTTGATATTGCCTCAGAGCCAATTGGAATCCTTCATGACTGGTTCACATCTGAAATTCCTAAACAGACCAGAGTGGTCATATGTGGTGGTGGTGTTGTTGGTTGTTCCGTAGCATATCATTTAGCAGTTCATCATAACTGGAAAGATGTTGTTCTGTTGGAACAAGGACGGTGAGTATGAAAAATTCTTTTATAAACTGTCAGTGTTTTAAAGTGGTAGTTCATATGATTTAAAGTGTTATTTGATGGGTGAAAATATGTATGTGTAGTGCTTCATTCAAATGGAAAAAGAATATTATATATTCACCTGCTAATCTTATAAAAGCTTATTTAATTAAATATTCCATTTCTCTTTTTGTGTACTGTTTGCGAGCCCTAAAATTATGAGTTATGATGCTAGTTCTTTGATTATTAATCTTTTTTATTTGTAATAATACGTAGTTGAGAATGCATTTTTAGGTTAACTTATTACAGAACATAGCTCCAGAATGAGTTGGGGTGTTTTCAGAACCCATTGCTGATTAAAATACTCTGCAGTGAGTTTTCTTCTTCTTTGGAAAATAATGGAGGCATCTATCTTAAAAATGTTATTTTTTCATTATACATTGTTCAACAGTGTGAATATCCTTCCTTGGAAGAGGCTGTGACATATTTATACAACCATAATTCCACTCATAGCAGGATTTCATTGCTAAGTGGGCCAGGAATTCATTGTGAATAAATCATATAGATGCTTTCTATGTACATTACCACATTATACCAATAGAGTAGTAAATTCACCAACTTACAAGCATAATGAAAATTTTGATTATGCATATAAATTGTTGGTTAATATACTAGTATATAGATGCTAAACATGTTACTTGTAAAGATGCGTATTGCATAGTGCCAGACTACTTTGATGAGATTGATAGACAGTGAAAGCAATGCAAGTAGGTTACTATTTTTTCTTTTTTGTTTTTACTCTAATGGCAAAACACAGTACAGCATGGTACCAAATGGTTGTGATGATACACAGATAGCAGAGGAAAAAATTCAGTTAAATCAAATTTGAAAAGTATGTTTGGAAATGTTAAAGTAACACATTTTATCAATGTCAAATTGTTTTAGGCAATTTAATACATGGTTACACTCATCTTAAACTTCTTGAGGCTTCAGTGTAAGTAGATAACACAAATGTTTTATTTGAAATATTGTTGTGTTCATAATTATGAAAGGGGAGAATATACTGCTGTTAGTTGAAGCTGCCAACTAGAGGCTGACAGTTCACTATAGTAGTTTTGTACTTATAGTACAGAGTATTAGAAACCAAGTAAAATCAGCTTTGATAAAGTGTATTTCTGTTGGTAATGTTAAAGCATCACATGCTGCCATTCCATGTTACTTTAGGCTATTTAATACACTGTTATACTTATATTTTCTGGAGTACTCTGCTTACAGTTTTGATATAGTAAATCTGTATTTCATTAATTTTCTTGGATTGAAATCAAGCTTAATAGTGAGTTTGGCAGCATAGTTACCAAGCTCTCTTTTTACTTAACTCTTTCCAGATGTGTCACGGGTGAAAGGCCATGTCATCGCGTTTATTGACTCGCATTCAAAATTTTATTGAACTACTATTTTATGAACTTATGTCAATAACTTTGTATCAAACTGTAGATTATAATTCAGATTTTAGTATTATACCTTACTCAGTTTCTTAATTTAAAAGTAAATATTACAAAAACACAGTTAAACACTGATTTTTGTGTGTCTCTTGGTATGTTGAATGCAGCACTGTTTGTGATGTCAAAAATACTAAGTCTGTAGTTTCTTATGAATTAGGAACTTAAATTACTGATACTGACAAGCTAGAATATAAAATATGAGCCTCTTATCTTTTCTATTTGCTAAGATATTGCTCATGTAATAAACACAGTGTCACCTCGTTCACTTGTTTCCATTTTGGGAAACACTCCCTTATATACACTTAATTCTATATATGACATGAATAACCAATCAGAATCTCAGAATGTTCCCCTAGTGGCATTCTCAGCCATTTTAATGTGTTTGGACACCATCTCTTTCTTTCCGACCAAGATTTCAAGAAGGTAGGTTGTGTCTTTAATCTGCTCAAAATTACATATATTTTTTTAGACTAAAATACAGTGTAGCTACTAAGCTTGATAAATTATAGTTGAATTCTTTGGTATTGATATAGTAATTTATGATTTTTTAGTTATTCAATTTTGTTCCATATCCTCCACGTGCAAAATTTTAAAAGGCTTGGCAATCTACATCAAGCAGCAATCGAGTACAAAGGTCGTAACTAGAAGAAATAATTTTTTGCTTTACTTTTTTATTTACTGTTCTATGTTTTAAAAAATAAGTTTAAAAACTTATTTCTAATTAGCAATAATCTATAAACATATATAATGTATGATAATTGAAATGTGACTATTTTATGAAATAATAATCTACTAAAATACAGCCAAGACAGGTCACTTTGTAAAGACTAAAGGTCAGTTTTATACTATTGGATACGGTAATATGAGTGCACGTGTGCCACGTCACTGTAACTTCTGTACCTGTGCTGAAAGAGTTAGATATAAATGCTTTTGGTGTTTCTCACTGCAAAAATAGCTTAAATAGCTTATTTTGTTGTAAAATGAAATGAGTTTCCCTGTGTTACTGTTATGCTAAATCTTTGCTTATATAATACATAAAAATAGAACTAGTGCTGGTATCTAATGAAGACATTGTTTAAGTAATTTTTTAACTTAATTGTTAGAAGCTTCATAAATCAAAAGCAATTTGTAGGATGAGTAATTTGTAGTTAACTCTGAGCATGTTACAACTTTTTTACTTATAAGTGTATATTAATAAGCTTGGCATCAAAATGTAGTTTACAATAGAAGTTTTAAATATATTCTCTATTTTCACTTCTATGTATCATGTAAAATTTGTTCACTTGGAGTTGCCATTTTATCTTTACTTTCTATTCCATATTTTCTGAATTCCCAAGTGATTACACACATATATTTTAGACATTTCCAAGTTAATATATAAATTTATTACCTCAATGCATCATGCTTTACTGAAATACAAACTAGAAAGTCAAATCTACATACCATGCCCATCCTAGGACATCTCGTTTTTCAAAAATGTCAGTAGTTCTGTAGGACATTTGCTATTGAATTACTTCTAATCAATAGAAACAGAAGGTTCCAATTTACTGAATGAGATGAGGTCAGTAACCATTAGGTTGACTAGTTTTGAAGGTTTTGGCATTCTTCTCTTTGTCTCCCAGTGTTGGAACTCTGCTTGACCAACATGTTAATTATTTAAATGATTTTTAGCTTAATTAAAAATCCAGATGAATTTTATTAGTTTTAGGACATTGGATTTTATATCATTTGCAATATTTCATATTCTGAATTGCAGATTTGATGTAAAAAAAAATTTCTGAGACCTCGCTATCTTCAATGAACATTAGGATTTGTGTTTGACGTAGGCTTCTATCACATAAGTATTTAATTTATTGTGTTTACATATGTTTTATTACTTAGTTTAGAAAATTTTAAATCAAATTAAGTAAACTAATTACTCATATTACACGCACTTACCTTGAACATTGCTATATAATTCAATGAACACGTGCCTGTAACTTACAATGAACAGTCATTCTAGAGAGAAAAAAATATCTTAGATTTATTTCATATCTTTTGTTATGAATTGGTTAAGATGTTGGTCAAATTGACTGAGATCAATAGAGTTAGTGTTAGGGTAGAGAAAATAACAGATAAAAATATAAAGTTTTATTGGAAGAAAAAATCTGAGAACAATAAAAAAAGAAAAAAATATTCTTAACATGAAAATCACCTTACACTTGAACTGAGTCAGTAAAAGCTTCATAAGTTCTTAGACAAATCCTTCATAGAAATGCTTTATTAAAATATCTTATTTTTTTGTGTACAACAGCTTGTGATGTTTAGAAGCTTGCCAAATTTCATGAAGAATCACTTACTACATTAAAAGTTATAGTATGTATTGTTTCGTGGTTACATGGAAAATTAAGCATGTTTGTTTGTTCTACATGTCACCAGCAGGTATTTAGTTGTGATTTTTTTTATTCATCCTTCTACAGTGCTAAATGTTTATCCCAACAAACATCCTCTCTTATAAAAATTAATCATGTATATTTAACTTTATACTGTTAAGTATCTGTTCTTCACACTTATTTTTCTGGAAGCACCATCTACAGCCAGTTAGAGATATGATTGAACTGGGTAGTGATGATCAACAGTATTATTCTGATGGCATTATCAAAATTTGTAATGTACAAAGCCTCCCTTATAAGCAAGGTACAACTCCATCTCAGGTTCCAATTATTAACCCTTTCGTCCTGGCTACACTTTACTGCGCATGACACAAAGTTTTAGTGTCTTACATTCAAAATTCTATTAAACTACTTTTTGTTTATGTATACCAATTAGAATAACATAAAATCTTAGCTAGTAATCGATATTTTAATAGTATACAAGTTTTAAGTTCTTAACTCTACAAGAAAATATATAAAAAAATCCTGAAATTCCACTAGTGCAACACACGTGAAACATTTTGTCTTAGCATGTCATCATCCCTATTTTATCCATCACCCCTTGAAAATGTTGGAAATTAAACGTAAAATACACTCTATAAAACCATTATTGCTGAAACAGACCATACTTTTTATAAACTTCAATTTTGTTTGGTTGCAGAGCTATTCAATAGAAAATCAGACCCCTCCTGCCACACCCACATCCTCTCTTTCACAATTCGTTCATAGTTCTCTCGTACGTTTCATTATACATTACCTATAACCAACAGAAAGTCAAGATTTTAATCTATCAAATGACACATTGTATAACGTTGTATTCTGAACAGAATATTGTTAATTCATTAAGATTCATAAGATTCATTCCCGTGGGAAAGTTAACGACTAGCTTAGAAGAATTTGTAATGGCTCTTGTCGCTTTGTTAGAAAGCCAAGAAAATTTTGAGAGGTAAGTGAATTTGTCTACTTTTTGCATGTTATTAGTCTATATTCTTTGGTGTATTTATTTAATTAAATAGAAATTGTTTACTGCTTTATAGAATCACTAAAAAAAATCAGACCTAATTGTCCTAGCAATCGAGGGCAAGAAAAAAGA